TTGGGTAAAATCACCAGAACTATTACTAAAAAGTATCAGGAACTATAAAACTCGACTGCATGCGACAAGAACTGCCTTTTATTTTTGATCTGCTGGAAAATGATATGCCAACTTTACAGACACCGCGTGCTCGCGCATCACGTGTTTCACGCACCGATGAGTTGGAATCTGCTGACGAGCTCCGAGAAAGCGAGAGCCAGTTGGTTTGATAGCGAACCATCACGGCCTTTGTTGGGAGGACGGCGACACGGACTATCGCCAGGCGAAGACGATCATTCGACGCGCGGTGCGCGACAACCTGGACGAGTTGTGTGAGACGGAGGAGACGCCCAACGCGCGAATCTACGTGAAAGGTCTCGAGAAGAAGAAATGGCTGCAGGAGATTCTCGGCGACGTCGACGCGACGATCGTGACCGTCGACGCGGAGTACGAGGACATCGATCGGTTGGAGTCTCTTCGCACCGATCGCGCGTTTCGCTGCCGGCGTCACCAACGGTGCTGCGCCATGGAGAACGTGATGAAGTTGCGCGATTGGTGGATCGAGCAACGCGAATGTTTCGCCAGCATCGACTCCGCGAATTGAATTACTTTATAAATTGTGCAATCTTGTTTCAATTGGCCAGTTGGGTAAAAAATAAAACGACTTATTTTGAATTATTTGCTGGCGACGGAAATTGTTTTGTTTATTTATAAATTTGTGTAAAAAAAAAAACTTTATATATTACTGGTTTAATATAATTTCATTTTTTAACGTATTAATCGTTTTATCTTATTGCGTTGCTCGTTTTTTTTTATTTTGTATATATTGTGTTTAATCGTTTATTTTTTACTCCATTGTGTCATATATATCCTTTCATCTATATTTTATCGAATAAAGATCGACGTAAAATCTATGACAAACGGTGTTCCTCTTTTCGCATACCACCTCCGTATTTATATACGTATACATTATATGCTACCGAGCGCGCGAAAATGGCCGGTCGCGGCAGCGCATAACAATGGCCGGTCGCGGGAACGCAATACACCTTAACGCGACAAACAGAGAAACGGCGAGCGAAAGCGAGAGCGCGATACGGGGGTGGGGCTCCAGCGCGAGATGCGGTTAGGAACGCAAGCGAGCGAGCGAGCGAGCGATAACGCCAAGCGTCAGATCGAGTGCGGAAGCGAGCGGTGAAGAAAACGCGATATCGTTAAAACATTTATTTTCACTGTTAATATTTATTTGTAATACAATATTGTTGTGAGGCGGAAGTCGCCGTGCCCGAATTGCGACACATAGCTGTCAGCGCACATCCCGAATATTGCCAAACTCACCTGAGGTGGCATTTCGGGTGTCGCAAGCGGCTTCCAGGTCGCTCACCCGGAAGCAAAAGCGCTGACAGCTAAGTCAGCATCGCGGAAGTAATACGCGAAGAAATAAAAAGCCCGCCCTTCCAAGAAGCGGCGGGCAGTCTAGAACGTAAGGCTAATCGCGCACGACCAACTTAAATTATCCTATTGTGAACGCCCGCGAGTCAGGGCAACGAAATTACCGACACCAGTGTATCAAGTTAAAAAGGTCTTTATTAAAATATCGTTGGACAAAAACTCTGGCAACGTTATTCTTCCTTCCTCCCGGCGGATCCAAAGAACTCAGTGCCGACCCCTCGAATCAGAGGCACGGCACAACAATTGGTGGCAGCGGTGGGATCTGCCAACCGGACGGGAGGACGTCCTGCCAGATTGCGCCTGCAAAGGGAACGGATCGTTAGACGGTGGTAAAATATCCCGGAGAGGAAAAGCCAGCCGGATCCCGAGTTCGTGAAACAACGGCAGTAGCTCCGCGTGTTATCAGCGACACCGGAGAGGCCCCGACCTACCGCACGGACTCGCCAGCCCGACGCAGCGACGCAGGGACGCAGCGAGCCAGCGAAGCAGCGCAGCAGGGACGCGGCGAAGCAGACAACGCAGAAGCAGTGAAGCGACCCTGTCAGACAACGCGGCAGGAAGCGGTCACGATGCACTACGCGGCGGTACTGTAAGTCGACACTCCATGTAAGCCGACACCGGCACGCGCCGCGACGAAAACGTTATATCTCTGCGTGCGTATCCCGCGATAGCGAACTGCGAGAGAAATTTTCGCGATTGCAGGCAATACAACCGCGAAGCGCCGAAAGATTTTCGCGTTTCAGAGCGCTAAAGTATAAGCGTCAATAGATGTCGGACGACTTGTCCCGGCATCCCCCTGTCAGCAACGCGTCATTCGTGTTAAGCGAGCGCGCGCAACGAGCCATCGAAAATAGTATCCGGAATCGTTTTCGCGCCACACGACTCGCGAACGACGAACTAGATCGCGTGCGAAGAAATTTAGACGCGCAACTCGACGACGCAAGCTCGCCGGTGCTCGAGCTACATCCCAACGTCATCGTAGAACGCGAATTTGAATTCTTAGACGCTAGTCTTTGCGACGCAAACAGAAACCCGCGAGATAGCATAGACAACACAAGCGGCGACGAACACGATAACGCACACAGACAGCCCCCGACCGACGGTGACGCACGATCGGACACCTCGGCCGATAGTCAGAGCGAGAACGCAGGGAGAGGAGAATTCTCCCTGACGTCATACGAAAGCGATATATTCGACCCCGAGGAAGAGGATTATACCCCCCGGGCCGACAGAATGAGCCAGCCACGAGCTGCCGCGACCATCGCGCCGCGAGAGGACATATCCCCGGCGCAAATTAACGCGGAAATAGAGCGGCTTAGACCCACGGAAAATGGGCAACCGCTCGAAGGCGACCAAAGTCGAGCCCCCGAGCCGACGCAAGTAAGCCCAGGAGCAATAAGCTCCGTGCTCAGCGATGTCCTACGCATGATGCGCGACATGCAGGAACGCATGGACCGTACAGAGGCCGCAGAGTTCGAGCGCTCTGTAGAAGTCCTGCGCGCAATCCGCGAGATACAGGAACGCGTGAGTCGAGTGGAATCCGCCACATATGATCGCCCCGATGCGCGAGAACGACGCGTACGGATCAGCCAGGGCCCGCTGGACGTGACCTACGGACGGACGCACAGCGACGTCCGTAGTCAGCCAGGGCCCCATCTCGGGTTCCTCAGCCTAAAGGAAGCCCGTAACATGATTCCCGAAATGAACGGAGAATCCCGAGAACGCGTTCGCGAATTTATTAATGCAAGCACTTACGCGATGAAGAATATACAGCCCGCGAACGAAACCATGCTTCTAAAAGCAATCTTGTGCACAAAGTTCAAGGGCAAGGCAATGACCGACTTCGACACGCGCGATATTCGCGACTTCGAGCAGCTAAAACGCGAACTCGAAACGGAATATCTCGGAAAGCGCGGCATGACCCATCTGCAGCTAGAATTCAACTCGCTAAAACAAAAAGCGGGAGAAAGCGCGCAGGAATTCGGGCGTCGAGTCGAGAAGCTCGCGAGAGAACTGTATGAAGCCATGGAAGAAGGCCAAGGGCACTCGCAAGAGCAGCAAAAGGCGATATTGGAAAGTATTAAAATGCAAGCTCTGCATAACTTCCAAATCGGGCTGCATGATGATATCAAGATGCTGGTCCGAGCACAGCGATATCCAAGCCTACAGGAGGCGATAACCGGCGCCAGTGCCGAGGAAAAAGTTAGAGGCCCCTTCCCGCGGAACGGACAAGCGGTAAACAGAAATAGATTTAATCAGGGAAACGCGCGAAATGCGGGAAACGCGACCGTAAAATGCTACAAATGTGGGAAGACCGGCCATTACGGGCGAGATTGCCGTGCGAGCCAACAAGCTAATAAATTCTCGCTGCCGCGAGCGAATAAGCCGGGTGGTATAAACATAATCGAGTGTACCTACTGCAAGAAAGCAGGGCACAAGCGCGACGAGTGCTGGTCGTTAAACGGACGGCCAAAATCCGAGCGACCGCGCCGACCGAAACAGGAAAGTGCGAAAAAAGCACCGATAGGCACAGTAAGAAAAACCAAAGCGAGCG